GTGGTGGGTGGTATTTTAAGATTGTTGTTTTTTTCCTTTGTACCACCAAGTCTCTGTCTTTATCAGTCCCCTCTCCTGAGGAAAATAAACTAAAACCAACCAAATGAGAAAAGCAAAGATTATTTATTCAGAGCTTGTTATAGCAAAGGAATCAGCCACTATCACTTGAGTTTTGGGAAACAATCAAAGACAGCAAGAAGTGGAAAAGCTTTGTAGTGGAAAAAGGAAGACTTCAGGAATGCCAAGAGGTGGCTCTGTTGATTGAGCCCATGAGAGAGGACTTTGACCATTGTCAGGCCTATGCTAGGACCGAGCTTCTCTCTGAAACTGCTAGTGAGGGAAGAAATGCAAAGATAGAGAGGGAGGTTAGTGATCAGGGAAAGACTGATAAGGAGAAGGATGACACCCTTTCCCCACCAGAGGCTTCTACCTGGAAGCAGGAATGAACTGAGGGGAGATAATTTAATGTCATGACAACTGCTGACCAAGGTCAAAGTTTGGTCATCACATGGGACTAGATATTTTAATTTCTGTAATTGAAACTGTTTGTGGCTAAAAAGCAATGGAAGACTTACCTATGAGTGACTAGAAAATTCTTTAGCTTGCCCAAATCTTCATCCAGAGTCAGGAGAATATTATTCCTCACTGCAGAAAATGTATAGGAACAGAGGAAGACAAAAATAAAGTTCCGTTTTGGATTCACATTCACGTAATGCTTGTTCAGTGTTCAGGTTATACATTTGTTAAAAATAACTACTGTGTATGTGTGTGTGTGTGTGTGTGTGTGTGTGTGTGTGTGTGTGTGTGTGTGTGTGTGTGTAATTTTATTTTATTTTGGAAACAGTCTTGCTCTGTGGCCCAGGTGGAGTGAAGTGGCATGATCATCGCTCACTGCAACCTTGATTTCCTGGGCTCAAGCAATCCTCTTACCTCAGCCTCCAAAGTAGCTAGGACCACAGGCACACACCACCACACCTGCCTAACTTTTAATTTTCTTGTAGCGACAATATCTTACTATGTTGTCCAGGTTGGTTTCAAACTCCTAGAACCAAGTGATTCTTCCTCCTTGGCTTCTCAAAATGCTGGAATCACAAGCATGAGCCACCATGCTTTACTAATAACTACTATTTGAGCGTGCTTTCTCAGAAATATGGCATTTAATTCTCCTGCCAGTCCTATAAGACAGAGCTTGTTGCTGGGACACTCAGTTAAAAGCACTGAGACTCAGAGGAGTGTCCTTTCTCAGTGAATTGGAGCAGGGTGGAGATTCACACCAGTTTGCTCAACTCCTTCACCTGTGAAGTTTATCACTAGACGGACTACAGTGCCTCCCATGAATATATTTCCCTAGTGCTTATGGCACTAGCATCGTTTATCCTTCTGATAGTTCCACAAAGTGGGCCAGTGGGTGGTGATAGTCCCAGTTCACAAAGGAAAATGACTTATGGAGAGTCAAACCCTTGCTCATTGCTACTGGCTCTGTGGCCTGTTTTGGATTCTTGTTCTCTGCTTGGCCTCCATTTCTCTAAGGTGCCTTTTGGATACCAAGTTTACTGAACTTGAAGCTTATGCTTAGAGACAATCTTCTATTGACTAACCTTTTTAAAATTGTGAAATGCAACACACATACAGAAAAGTATATAGAAACCATATTCAGCTTAAGCAATAACCACCACCAGCTCAAGAAGCAGCTTTTCAGCACCCCCGAAACCCCTTGCACCCTACCACCCTGCCTCTTCAAAAGTTGAGTTCACTATGGCTTTTATGGCATTTTCTTGCCTTGCTTTATAGTTTTCCCACCTACATGTATCTGTACATCTCTCAATACTATTAATACAGTATTGTTTGTTTTTAAGCTTTATATAAACAGAGTTGTATTGGTGTACTGTTTTGTGTCAAACTTTTCACTCAACATTGTTTTGAAGATTCATCTGTATTGCTACATATAGCTCCAGGTTGTTTTTATTGCTATATAATGCATTTCATTCTATGAACATACCAAATTATTTACTGTTAGACAATGGGATTATTATTATTATTATTAGATAAATTTTTGTTTAACTTTTATTTAAATAATTTTTTTCTTTTAAATTTTTTCTTTTAAAATTGTAGGGTACAATTCAGGGTTAGGAATATAA